AAAATGAATACCAAAAATGAAGGAATTGAATAAACCTAGGGTTCCAAATTTTATTTTTGAAACAAAACAGACAGACCGTCTGACTTCTGGTAATGACCGAAAACCTCAGTAACTTTCCGCCGGATGGCCAAAAGTTAAAATCAATTTCGGCCAAAACCGAAAATAAACAGAAAGTTAACTTTTCTCTTTTGGCCAAAACCAAAATTAAGCCGAAAGTTAACTTTTCAGTTTTGGTCGAAACCGAAACTAGGCCAAAAGTGATAAAATGGCCACTTTCGGTGCCGAAACCGAAATTCGGTCAGTCTCTTTATTACAATATTACCCCATTCTAGTATGAAAGCTAGGTTAACTTAACCCTTACTTCAGGAGCCCAAGTAACTTCAGATAATCAGCATGGAAATAGTTGGACACGTCTTTCTCCATCTCTTCAGCTCTTAAAATCTCCTCTGTCTCGAAACGTCTGAAACTTTTGTGTAAGCTATAAACAAAATACCATTTCAACAAAATAATTCTTTTTGTCAATTTTGAATTTGTTTTGTCAGACTTATTGATGCTATATGGCTTATTTTTATTTGTAATTTATTTAGTAAGACTTATTGATGTTATTATTTAGTCATACACTAAAGACGTGGACAAATTGATCACAATTTATAATTGACTCATAATGCACTATTAAATACAAAGTTTATGTTTTTATCCCTATCCAAAATTACTCACACCAAAATGTTGAGTTAACCTAACTAAGCTCATACTTTGTATGCTTATTTTTTTTAAGGGCCTTCTTGTTTGTTTATACTTCATAATAAACTAGATCAATATCTTGCTGATTTTGTGTACGGTACCCATGTCCAAAGTGTCCTTTTACCGGGACTGGTAATCTTATTTATTTTTTTTTCTTCAATATTGATATTTAGTTAAGTAAAATGGCAGATCTATTATGTTTAATTTGTAATAAGTTACCTTTCTCCATCTCTCAGCATAACTTTTGTCAGTATGCTAGAATCACCTCTTGATTGGAACTTGTTCAGAAACTGCTTGTAATTAATTAAGCCTGATAGGTAAAATGAAAGACAGTTTATTATTCGATATAAATATAACTTATTTTGAGGAACAAAATATAAATAAAATTAATTGAACCCCTTAACATTCTGATAGTAGATGAATTTTATTGCTAAGGACAATGTGTGTCCACCATAGTTATTTAGTAAGCTACACTTCTATTTCTGTTATTTTTTTTAATCTAAAAGAAGTTTTAAAAATAAAAGGTGTTTACTGTTACAAAAAACCAAAATACACTTCTTCTTTTTCTGTGTTTTATTTTTAAAACAATTATTTATTTATCACTGAAAAGAAAAAAAGAAAAATAGAAAAATGTTGAACTTTTATAGCAGTGGAAATGATTCAAATAATATAATCCCTTTTAATGAAAATCAGGTCTTCTGTTATGAATTCTGAAATAACTGAGAATTTAAACCATCCTCAATATTAACTAACCTTGAACTACACTGATCCCTGCCCTGGCCAAAAATGCATCAAGGTCAATGGCAGCAATTTCAAAGCCGAATTCTTTAAGAACTCTCCTAAAATCAATTCTGGCTATGTAGCCATCATTCATAAAGTCGAATAATCTAAAAGCTGAATGGAGGTTGCGGAAAGTCTCTTCAAACTAGAAAAAATAAAAACGTTATTCTTTTGAAACTTTCAACGCTTATCAAAACTTACTTGGCATATAATATCTACAACTTTTAAAAAGAAAGAAAACAATGATTTTTTAAAGTGAAAGGAAAAAGAGAATATATAGAAATGTATATAATCTATTTGACAATGCAATGAAATGTTTCTTCTAATATCAAGTTTATTTTAAAAATACCTGCACACAACAACCTCATATCTTATTATATTTTTTAATCATGAAGTATTTGTCAAACATTTCTAGAACATTTTTAATAGAAATTCTAAATTTTTTTTGAAAAAGAGACACCCAAAGCAAATTATGAAATACCATTTTAATGTTTAACATTGTTAACAAGCTAATAACATTAATCCAAACATTGTTTAAAATTGTAGGTTCTGATTTTTTTCTATCATCAGGTCCAAACCTAATTTTGTTTCTTGAAGTAATCAGTATTAATAAGTTCCAAATAAAGAAAGAAAGTTCATTTTAAAACTAGAAAAATTTCATACATTTTAAAAAATGTTTAAATCTTCAATAGAAAGTGCACTTAATTTATATGGAAATAGTGAAAGAGATTTTTTTGGAAAACACAATCAACAAACGTGCAGTAAAACAAGGACTTTTAGTATCTAATGACTTAAAAAAGAAATAAAATCAGTGTTCCATCAGTGAAGCAAAGTACTCTGAAATGCTCTTTGTTTTGTTTTATAAGAGCTTTTGTGATTTTTTGATGCAATAAAATATGTTGAAGAAAACCTAATGAAGGACAAAACATGTCTTCTTTTTTATTTAAGAAAAATACTAATTTCCATGTAATTTGCAGTCCTCCATATTTATTAAAATATATCAAATATTTTTTTTTTTTTTAAATGTCGAGGGCATCTATAAAAAAATAAAAAACAATTCATGTGAGATGTTTCAAAATTGAAACCAAGATTTCATTTTTGTAAAAAAACATTACTCAGCCTATCAACAACTTGCAAATACTTTTTTAAAGCTTCTTCTGGAATATATTGTTCTAAAACTAGGTGATATGTGAGGTAACACTTTGTAATCCTTACACATATTATTATTTGATAGCTCTTTAAAAGATGATTTTAAAAGTTTTTTTGTTAGAGGGATCGAAATGTATTATATTCTATGTGAAGGCAAATTACAAATACTTTATTTATCAATAAATAAGGGAAACTATACAAAATGATAATGAGTTATCAATCCACCAATATAACCTGTCATCTCTACCTGCTAAAAATATCTGAACATAAAAATAAAAGACAATTAAAAAAAAAAAAAGAGTAATTAAAATAAAGTGATTGCATCTTTTTTTCTTCTTTTTATTTTATACAAATATAAATTGAGTCTTACTCATGTAGAATTTATGTAAATGCTTGTAAGAGCACTGCTACACATTATTTTTTCATTGTGGTGACGGTGATAAAGTTAAATTCACGAATAGTTCTTGAGTGCAACATTTATTTTCAATGTCTTTAACTTTATTCAAACTGTAAATGTAATGCCGAAAATTGCAATAAATTTGCTCTTTTAGTTTTGAAGATTTATGCAGATTTCAAGGAAGACTATCATTGGAGAGCTAAATAAAATATTGGAAGGAAATTATTAATTCGTTAATTTTAAAAAAATGTTAACTTGTAGCACTCAAGGGGCATTATGTTGTGTAAAATATCTTGAGATAATCATGACAAATAAATTGATCTACTTTTAAAAGCATGTTGGAAAAAAAATCTTAAAAGGTGTAAAAAAAAAAATGACCCTAATCTATTATTATGCTTTGCTGCAGATTAAATGTGAATTTTTTCAATACAATTCATTTGATCTATTATAATGTTACCCATATAGACCCATGTCAACCAAAAAATACAAAGTGATATAAAACTTTCAGTGGAAAATACTATTGTATCTTTACCCATTTATACTGCTTATTTATACAGTGATTATTCTGCATGATGATGCAATAATCATATTCATAACACATGTCTATCCAAGATGTATTTTTTTTAAAAATGTATGCAACTTGAAAAAATACCTTAAATTTTTCTATTAATAGCACTTTGTCATGATTAATCAAAAGAAATGTAAAAAAAAAATGCACATATAAAAAATATATTTTACGATATGGTAAATGGTTATTAACAGTCACCTGTATTTGAGAGGCATCACTGGCCTGGCAGATGAGGAAGGAAAAGAGGCAAAAGGAAGAGAAATCATTCAGGCATGAAATAAAGAGAGTTATATAAAAATTATTTTAAGGGAAGTAATGAGGAATCAGGGTAAATCAAGCTTGTTTCATCAGAAAGGGTAAATCAGCCAAGCTTACATCAGCAGCAGGTTAAACTGTTATACACATATATGTCATGACTAATATAAATTTATAAGTCATCAAAAACATAAGTTGCATATAAAATATTAGAATTAAACATGTACAGAATTATTTTTAAAACTATAAAATATGTCAGGAATTCTACAGTTTCAGAAAACATATTTCATCTTGAATAACTGTATAAAACATCAAACTTATAAATCAAATCATGTGCTTTCATTCATTAAACCAAGACATTCTGAAATAAAAAAAATTAACCATCCAATTTCTTACCTTAAAATGCAAATGATCTATGACATCATGAAACTGAGGTGGAGATTTTTTAGCCTGTATCAAGGAACGAACATGAGACGATAACTTGGTGTCATCAATCAACTGTTCTTCCCTCTTCTCCGTTGTAGTTCTCGTTGTGCGTTTTGTTGTTGTGGTCTCTGTTTCCTCAGTGGTCGTGGTCACTTCTGTTGTAACCTTTTGTTTATCAGAGGTTTTACCACATTTGTTTTCATGCCCATCTCCAAGAATTTCTGCTCGATTTCCATTGATCACTACCGTGTCTACTTTGGACA